AAAAATCCTTTCGTAGTTGACTTGGAAGCTGCTGCTGTGTTGGTGATCACTGTTATTTCGATGTCAATTTAGGAATGAAGTATTTCCAACATTTCCTCCTGCAGCTTTAGGGAATTTAAAAATTGAACCTTGTGAACGCTGAAAAGTGGCAAATAAAGTGTTCTGTTCATTCATTCATCATGTAATGTTTAAAAAAATCTAGATGCATTATTTTGTGTCTAAATACATGAGGGATCAAAAACAGCTGATGGAATGTGAAGTATTAAGTGTGTACATACGAGCTAAAATGCAATTTTTCATGGTTTCATAATTTGGTTTATAATATTAAAAAAACGGACAAACATGCGCGTCAAAGTTGAAATTTTCTTCACGTTATCTGAAATTGCTTCGTAAGCAAGCCCTATATAAGCCTCTCTTGAATAAATTCTGGGTACTTTCCATTATTGGCTTACTTCTGAAGAGGTTGATTTTTTTTTTTTAAAAAATTCTCAGATCCATAATTCGGACTTGTCAATAAAGCGTATTACAGGAAAATTGCATTACAACGAAGCTTCTGGGACCAGTCAAATAAAGTAGGTTCATTGTAGCAAGCTTATGCTTCACTGAACCGTACCTCCACCGTAGGGGCGGCGGAAACCACCTCCATATCCGCCATATCCGCCGCCGTAGCGTCTGCGACCAAAGAAGTGGCGCTCCTCCACGTCAGGGGCGCCTTCCGCCGGCGGTGCCTCGGACGCCGCTGGATCTGCGGCCTCCCCGGACGCCGCGGCTTCCTGGGCGGTAGGCCAGGCGACCGCCGAGCAAACGGCGGCGATGAGCAAAAGCCCAATCGTTGCAATCCACTGTGAAACAAAAAAAGATGCACGAGAAATATAAATGATTCTCAAGGAAATACTGTAATATACGCATTGAATGAATATTTTGCTGAGAAATTCATGCCTCCTCATTTCATATTTTAAATCTCGTTGTCACCAGTTTTGAATTGCAATGAAAACTCAGCTCATGATTTGGGGTGACCTTGTTGTACGAATAATCAAAAATTATCGAGGATCGAAAGCCGTTGGAAAATCTCACTCAACTGCTGATTAAAAGTTTTTAAATATGACCGAAAATTGTATTCCATTAGCGTCTCAACCCCAGAAAACCTTGATTGACTTTTAGGAATGAATGATTAGCTCATCATGAACGAATAATGAAGCCGCAAAAAATTTGTAAATCAAGTTTTTGGTTCTCTGGAAAATTGGAAAGCCAATGCCTTTCAAAAAGTAAGCTTTTAATAAATTGAAGTAACGCATTTAATACAGAATGAACACTTTATGATAATTAAAAATTTTAAAATACGACGCTATCAAAGTTTCAAGACATTGCCGCTGTGGCCCCTATATATAGTCATCATGTTTTTTTTCTGGAGAATCATAACCTTTTTACATCAAAGCTGTTAATTTTTTATGCATTTCCTATTCTTGGAATTCTCAGATGAAAAATGTCTTATGGTGCTAGTAAATCCTGTGAACGAGTTCGATGACCCCAGATGAGAACCTCTCAATTAAGGGAAATAACGGCTTCTTACAGTTATTTTCTAAAAATTTATTACTCTAATTCCGTTCATTTATTCATCTTTAAAATCTGTCAAGAATACGATAGCAAGCATGTCGAAATAATAATTGATCGCGCTACATTCCTAAAACGCTTTGCATCGGGGAATTCCGATTTTCATTTCATCTAATATTCCACATTGAGTTGGGTTTTCTTTAGGATTTTTATAAAACCAGGCCTTTTATACGAAGCAATCTCCTTGGTTTTTTTGTTGCTTTGAAAACGGGATCCTAATAATAAAATTAAAAAAAAATACGTGCCAAGATATCTGATGGATTTCAAAGTTTACTTACGAATTTCATGATGAGGTTGGAAATCGGTAACACTCGAATGAGAATCTGAAAATAAAATGTGAGGCAAAAACGGTTTTAAATTCCATGCGGTTGTGAATCTAATTTTATTAGTTCATGATTATTTTTCCTACAGAACGATAGTCACAAAAAGGCGTTCGAATTTTAATCGCTCATTTTCAGAAACGCATGTTACTAAGAAAAAATGTTTTCAACCTCACACTGAAGTTCAACTTTTAAAAAAAACCGATCTTGCTCTACAGCTGACAGAACGTCGAAAACCGTAACCCAAGGAGATTCTCGAAACCATTTATACCCTGGGCTGAACTCAAAAAGCACCTAAAAAAATAAAATGAGCTGCAGAAGAAAAAATACTTAAAATTTGGGGAAATTCTGGAAGTAAAACCAGATAATCTACAGCGTTTCTTGCTTGACAACAAAATTCCTGCTTGGGAAATACACTCTTACTATCTAGACAGGAAGTCCTGTTGGGGAAAACTATACTTTTGTATATTTCTCTTAAGTTCCTGATAACTGCACTGACAACCGGAAGTCATCTACGTTCAGCAGCATTAGTAGGATTTGTGGCAGAGAACAAATTTTGGGTAATTTTCCACAGAAAAAGAACGTGGCTAAATTTTCTGACTGCATGGTGTCAGATAATTTTGAAGGAATACATTGCTGCTACAATAAAAGACACGGTTTTTTTTTTACCTGAAAACGTAAAGCTGTGCAAATTTATTTCACCTTCTATAAACGTCGGAGTTGAAAAGAAACCAGCGCTCAACAAAATCAGTCCAGTTTCAATTCTAAGCGGAAAAAAACGAGACCACGCGTTTAAAACAAAAAAAATCCAAAGCATCACAAATGAAAAAGAACATACGAATATTTGTTGAGCAATCATCTGGAAGGAACAGGACGAAGTATAAACGATCGAAATGACAAATTTTCTCCACTTTGTTTTCAGCACCAAAAAGACAATTTCAAGACGAAAAGCTGCGTTCGGGTTGAATGAAATGAATTTGACGATAGGCTCGTCGATGCTGGTCCTCTTATTGGATCGTCGACGACGACGAGAGACGCGGAAGCATTTTTACAACCAGGTTTTCTTGCCCATTTGGTATCAGTTTGCTTTCTTCGGTTGTGAGATGGTCGAAGGGCTTCACCAGTATCCTGCAAAAAAATAATCTCATATGATGAAAATATTCTTGACATTTAAATAATTATATTCGAAATGGTGTTCTCCATTATTCCCATCACACGAACTTGGTTTTGTCGGCAGAGAAAATATCGTACAACAAATGAATTTGCTAAATGGTAACATCTTCTAAAAATCCAAGGTAGCACGTCGAAATTAAATAATCAACAGTGATTATCTACGGTATTAGTCCATTCAAAAGTAACTGCCTTGATTCTAATTGAGCTTTGAGATTTACTAATGTCTGAGCGAACATCGCTTCTTCGTAAAAAAGTTCAAATATTCATTATTTATAGCTTGAATCATTCTTGGAATTTTTCCGGAACCTTGCATTTTTTTTAAGTAAAGAATTTCTTGATTTTGAACAATTTTTCGGGTAGGGAAATTTCTCCATTTTTGTGTATTATTGTAATCCGAAAATGGTCCACGAGCGGAAAATAGCCGCCGAATCACTGCGAAGTGATACAATATTCGTGTCCACAAAATGATTAAGGAAAAGAAAGATTTCAATTTTTAAATTCCCTAAAGCTGTAGTAGGAAATGTTGGAAATACTTAATTCCTAAATTGACATCGAAATAACAGTGATCACCAACACAGCAGCAGCTTCCAAGTCAACTACGAAAGGATTTTTATTCAATTTTTAAATTCCCTAAAGCTGCAGGAGGAAATGTTGGAAATACTTCATTCCTAAATTGACATCGAAATAACAGTGATCACCAACACAGCAGCAGCTTCCAAGTCAACTACGAAAGGATTTTTCTTTGTCGTTATATAGTATACCTTTGCAGAAATTATCTTTCATTTTACTGCAAATAATGCAGCTGAAATTGATCGCCAAAAATAAAAAGGTAATCGCGCTTGAAATTTAAAAAAATGAAACGGATAAAGCGAGGGAAATTATTGCGTCATGCAAAAACAAAGAAAAAGAGAGAAAGGAGAACGTCGTATAACCTCCGAATCCGCCTCGTCGGTATCCGCCGTAGCCGCCCCCGTAGCCGCCGTATCCTCCGTAGCCACCGCCGAATCCGCCGCCATAACCGCCATAGCCGCCGTAACCGCCGCCGAAGCCCCGGTAGCGGTGCTCGGCCCCGGCCAGTCCCTTCAGGTCCACACCTTGATCCCCTGCGACCTGCTTCACATTCCCATCGTATTCCTCGGGCTTCAGTTGAAGTGGACTGTTCCCAGCATCAGGGGCCTGTTGCTGCTGCAGTTGGTCGACAGGGTCTGCTGGGAATGCCGACGCCACTGCGACGACGACAGCGATGACCGACAATAAGGCGAGGACCTGTACATATGGAACAAGCAAAGGAAACCACGCACCTGTCAAAATGCCTCGTTTGTGCATTTCTCTCTCTAAAAAAATGATGAAATAAAAAACCTCCAGAAACTTGGTGGACATTTTATCGCAATATATAGTGTTTGTTATTATATATATAGTGTTTCTACAATATATAGTGTTTGTACACTGTTTGTTCAAGATTTTATGCGTGCGCACATGAACCAAAACAATGATATCTTCTCGCAGAATTATATATTATCCTGTGCCCTTACGTCTGGAGTTAAAAAGAAACAAAAATTCAGTATTTGAAAGTCAGAAGAAATTATCATCCTATATGACCTATAACTTGTAAAATCTCAAAGCAATGGCAGTCATGGATGTGCGCTGGAATCATAGAATTTTTTGTTTCAACATGACCGGTTTTTTTTTCTACATGGGGGTGCATGGGAGCATAATTGATTTTAGAAATGAATCTGTACAGTTACATGGCCCTTCTAGAAATGAAAGTAAAATCTTGAAACAAGAAACTTCCTGGGACCTGAATACCTGATTAAAAATGTGTTACAACAAAAAATTTGTTTTACCAATATTCTAGGTCTTCAGCACATTTTATGCTGCAATTGTTAGGTAAATGCGCTATTACTTTAAAGAGCTTCTGAAACAGGTAATTCAAGACTTATATTACCAAGTATTTTTTTGTGAAATGAAGAGCACATTTTGAAATGGATATACAGTACTTCCTTTTCATTGAACCTGCACTTCTACTGAAGTGTCATTGATCTAGAAAGTATAAAAATAGAGGAAATTGTTTTCCAACTTCATACTTTCTGAGAGAAAGACATAGCTTCTCAAATGGAGCTAAAGAATATCCAGGAAATATGCCGTGTTAGTGCATTTTTGAACACCATATTGTATTTATAGAAAGTTTTAATTTCTTGATGAAGTCAGAATGCTGCAATTTTCAAATAATTAATATTTAATCCCCATGGCATATACAGCATATGCAGAATCTAACCAAAATTTATGAAATGAGATTACAGCCTAAAATTAGTTTTTATCAAGTGAGATATTTAGTTAGATATGATGCATTTCTAAATAAACTTCAGGTACCAAGAAAAACTTCGTTATAACATGATTTGTTGTAACAGAACCCTACTGCAATTGGCTTATGTAAAAAGGCCTATGAGCAAAACGCATGTTTCATCACTGATTATTTTTAAGAGGACTGCTGTAGATATAATTCAAGAATACTGTACATCAGTAAACTCACAGTTTTCATTGTAATATCAGCAAACAACGGCTGTGCACGGGATATCTCCTCGTTTTTTTTTTCTTCTCTCGCTTATTGAAAAGCAATCACAACCAAGTAAATATAGACTGTTTCCTTTGGGGTTCGCAGGACTGTATGAACCTTCCTGAACGAGGCCCGTCTGTTTATATAGCGCCATCATCATCATCGTAGACTCGAGTCGCTGCCCTGTTATATATACACAAATACACACGAATGGGATTCCTTGCCTTATTATATTCCTGGGCTTTCCCCAACAGGTCCCTGCACCATCGCCACGATCATCGTCATCATCAGATCAGATGCCTGCTTGGTGAGCCGGTAACTGCGCATGTGCTCCAACAGCTTCGCGTGGAAATAAAAGGGCTTCCAGGAAACAAGAGCTGCAAACGCCACGCGTTCAGCTGAAGGTGTTCCTTCTCGTCTACCTTTCCCACACGTTTAGGTCATGCATGCACACACGCAAGCTAGTGATTCTTCTACTCCTTCTTTCCTTCCTTCCTTCCTTTATCCATTCGCAGTTATGTACAGGGTGGGTGAAAAAGAAAAAAATAAATCTGATTTTTGAATCAGCACAATAGCTCAGCAATCAAGCTACAGCAACATTAAAAAAAACAACAATAAATGAAAGCTTTCTTCATTTTACTTTCAACTGATTTGGAGCAATCCAGTCATCCATCAGAAAAAATTTTCTCATGTGAAGGGTCACAGCTAGGAGCCCTGATGAGGCTGACACTGGGCAAGCTTGCATTGGGATTTTGGTAGTGGAATAACATGTATAATCCCACTGTTTTTTTTTTTTTTTTTTTTTTTTTTT